CTAATTATCTTTTTTTCATATACAAGGTGACACACACACAGAGAGAGACAGAGACAGAGAGAGAGAGGGAGAGGGAGAGAGGGAGAGAGAGGGGGGGGGAGAGACTAAAGCAAGAACCTCATCCATAAAACTTTGGGTTGATAAAGACTCACTTAGGCACCTGTCGTTGGTGCTGTTCTGGGTCCTGCCCAGAATGTCACTCCTGATAACACTGACCTTTCCCAGTGAGTATTCTGTTCAGTGTTCTTTCAGCGTCTGGGGTTCTTTTCATTGCAAGGTTTATGTTAACCAGTTTCCAACAAAACAGTTGTTCTCAGCCTGTGGGCCGTGACCCCTTTGGGGTTGAATGACCCTTTTACAGGGGTCACCTAAGACCATCAGAAAACACATCACTATTCATAACAGTAGCAAAATTACAAGTATGAAGTAGCAACGAAAATAATTTTGTGCCTGGGGTCAGCACAACACAAGGAACCGTATTAAAGGCTCGCAGCCTTAGGAAGGTTGAGGGCACTGCTACAGAAGTGCCACCTTTGTTTCGGTCTTGTCGTCATTGTTAAAGCTATGGGCTGCCAGGGCTGGTTTATATTGTGCTGGATTTCAAACCCAGGACTCCCTGTGCTTGTCAGGGTAGCCCCCTGTCAATGAGCTCCATCCCCATCATACACTGGCTTCCATTCCTCAGTCATTAGCTCGAGATGATGGTGGTGATGATGGTGGTGTGGTGGTGATGATGATGATGGTGGTGATGATGATGATGGTGGTGGTGATGATGATGGTGGTGATGATGATGGTGGTGGTCGTGGTGATGATGATGGTGGTGGTGATGATGATGGTGGTGATGATGATGGTGGTGGTGGTGGTGATGATGATGATGGTGGTGATGATGATGATGGTGGTGGTGATGATGATGGTGGTGGTGGTGATGATGATGATGGTGGTGGTGATGATGATGATGGTGATGATGATGATGGTGGTGGTGGTGATGGTGATGATGGTGATGGTGGTGGTGGTGATGATAGTGATGATGAAGGTGATGGTGGTGATGATGGTGATGATGATGATAGTGATGATGAATGGTGATGATGATGATGGTGGTGGTGGTGGTGCTACTGCTATGATGATGTATTTTTGTGTCTATATTCTCAGAGGCTGTAGGCAGGGGATCTGCAGTTACGGGCAGCTGTGAGTCCCTGATGTAAGTGCCAGGAACCAAATGTGGCCCTCTGCAAGAGCAGTATGGCTTTAACCACCAGCCTCTCTCCAGCCTTGTCAGAGCACCGCTGAAAATCACCTGACTTCTGGCAATTGCATCCAAAAGGCCACAGGCACCAGCTCAGGGGCCCCGTGGAAGTGGTCAGAGCGCATCAGCAGTGGTTTGACCTTGTGTGGTTTCCCAGTTAGCCCCGAGAAGGTGGGTGCTGTCCAGGAAACTGCCCTGCAGTCACATGTTCAGGGTCAAACAACCCAACTCACTGCGTCAGCCGCAGACTGGTAGAGCTGATTATCTCGTAAGCCTCTTGTAGCCCCACAAGGATGGCAGAGCATGACGCTTAGCTCAGATTTATTGCAAAAGAGCTCCTCTGCCACAAGCTGCTCGTGGGAACAATAACTCAGCAAACACCTTTGAGAGGTGGCACTATAATTAAATGCTGAGGTGGTATTCATTTTCTTATTACTAAAATTTAGGATGTATTCCCTCTGTTGCCTCTCGGTTGGGTGTCAGACAGAGGAAGCAGGTGGTGGCAGTCCCCGGGGGGCCAGGGATGCCTGCACCTGTCATGTGTCTGGACATGCAGCTCTTGTCCAGGGTGTCCTTTCTCATATCCTGAGACGCGGTGCAGCCCGGGTGCCCCTGACTCATGAGCACCGAGGCACCTTTCCCTGGCTTGATGGCACTACCTGACTCGTTGCACATGGCGTCCAACTGTGCTTATTGTCAAAAGGGAAGAGCCGGCACCGTTTCTCAGAAAGTGTTCTCCATTCCGTCCTGGCCGTTTGGAGCCACAGAAGCCACTCAGCCTTCCTGAGTCCCCACCATCCCTTTTTAGGTACGATCTGATCCACATTGCCTTGTTCAGCCAGCTTGGCATTTTAACTCTCATTTACCGTCATCAGTGATGGGCACTAACAGGGTGGTGTGTGTGTGTGTGTGTGTGTGTGTGTGTGTGTGTGTGTGTCATATGTGTATTGGGGGTGTGTGTGGTATGTGTGTATGGCTGTATATGTGTGTATGGTGTGTTTATGCTGTATGTGTGTAGGGGGCATGTGTGTGTGTGTATGGTGAAGGTGGTGGCTGACCGTGGCCCTCCCTGTATATGTGGTATGTGTGTATGGTGTGTTTATGGTGTATGTGTGTGTGTGTGTGTGATATATATATGTGTGTGTGTGTGTGTGCGTGGTATATATATATATGTGTGCGTGTGTGTATGGTGAAGGTGGTGGCTGACCGTGGCCCTCCCTGTATATGTGGTATGTGTGTATGGTGTGTTTATGGTGTATGTGTGTATGGTGTGTTTATGGTGTATCTGTGTGTGTGGTATATATATATGTGTGTGTGTGTGGTATATATATATATATATGTGTGTGCGTGTGTGTATGGTGAAGGTGGTGGCTGACCGTGGCCCTCCCTGGGCTGGGCTTTTGTCCTGCTGGGCTCTGCTGACCTGCAGGTCTCCAGTCTCCTTCCCACCTCAGTCTCGCTTGGCTGAAGCAGGTGGATGATTTGTTGCAATCAAGTTGCTTTGCTGGAGAGAAAGTTTTCAAATGCCTAGCATTCCTGCCACGATTTGCGCTGAAATCTAGAGATTAGTGTGTATAATGCTGTCACACGGTTTTAAATCACTTAACAAGAGACTGGGGGAGGGGTGAAAGTCATTCTGTTTTCTCTGTTTGTTGCTATTATTTGGAAATGAAAAGGACACGTAACTTTTAAAAAGTAGCAACCAGGTAATGGAGTGGTGGCGTGTGACTAATTCCAGCAATAAGGAGTCTGAGGCAGGAGGATTGCTGTGAGTTCAAGACCAGTCTGGGTTACATAGTGAGTTCCCTTTCTTAAAAACAAACAAACACCAACAACCAAGGAGGCAGGGTTGCTTAGTGGTTAAGAGCACTTACTGCTCTCCCAGAAGACCTGCATTCAGTTCCAAGCACCCAAGTTGGCCTGCTATAGACATCTGTAATTCCAATTCCAGAAGACCCAACACCCTCCAACAGATACCGCTCTGACCTCTGAAGGCACGGCACCAACACAGGATACACACACACACACACACACACACACACACACACACACACAGACACATATACACATGCATGCATGCACACACATACATACACATGCACATACATACACACATGCATGCTTGCATACACACACATATACACATATACACATGCATGCATATACACACATACATACACATGCACATACATACACACACATGTGCACATACACACACACATGCACACACACACGTAATGGAATCTGCTGCTCCTGGTGTTCCTAGTTAATACACATCGGAAGAGGTACAGGGGCTCAGGACCTTTCACTGTCCTCTGTTAGATGAGATGTGAGTGTTCAGGGCCTGAGGCAGAGAGGCAGCCAGATCCCAGGTGTCACTCCTGGGGGAGTGACAGAGGGGCGAGGGCACACCTTGTTTTCTCATCTGTAAATGGGGTGGTGACTGCCCCTAGGATGTAGTGGGCATTAGAATTGTTTAATGTCTGAAAAACTAAAGCTTGTGACACACAGCAGGCATTCAGGCGTTCAATGGGAACCTTATTAAGGACATTTATTTGTTATAACCCCAGTGTCATTGTTTTTTTTATTATAATCCCAGTGTGTTTTCTTGAATAGCTTCAGACAGCTCATTACGATACATGTAAATTATTTTTTTGTTTAGTTTGAGGTTTATACTACTTCATTTATTCACTCATTCATTCACTTTTGAGGTATGGTCTCAGGCAACTTAGGCTGGCCTTGAACACTTATAGCTGAGACCAAAAGCAAAAAGAAAAACGAAATAGGTAAAAAGTAGGAAATGCTTTCTAAGGGATGTTCAGTGACCATGAACTTCTGACACTCCTGCTTCCACCTCTGGAGTGTTGAAATTTTGGCGTGCACACCCAGCTTTATGCCGTGCTGGGGATGGAACTCGGGGCTTGGCGCCTTCCAGGCAAGCGCTCTCCCAGCAGAGCCGTATCCCAGCCCCCGTGCTATCTTACAGACTCTCAGAAGATACTGTATACGCAGAGCATGGGGCTTTATACATCTTGTCGGGATTTCTAGGGCTTGTTGCATAGGCCTGCAGAAAAGTTTAAGGGGTATAGTGTATGTAGGATATTACTTTAAGGAAGATAATTATAATTCATTTTGTGACTAAACAGAATACCTAAAGATACCTCATTGAACTACAGAAATTAAGAATTCTTGATGATTGCTTCTTCAGTGCCTTGTGGAAGTCTGTGTTTCATTTTGATGGAAAGGAGAGATTTTCTGTTGTTGCTGGTTTGGTTTCCTCCCTCCCTCCCTCCCTCCCTCCCTCCCTCCCTCCCTCCCTTCCTTGCTTCCTTCCTTTGGTATCCCAGGCTGGCCTAGAGCTCACCACATAGCCCAGGATGACCTAAAACTCCTGGTAATCCTGCCTCCTTCCTGCCCCTGGGGTCACAGGTGTGCAACACCGTGTCTGACACACAGATACATTCTGCCTATTCCCAGCGGCTGGGATCGTCACGGGTGTGCTGGGGTCACGGGTGTGCAACCCCACGCCCAACACACAGATAGCTTTGTCTTCACTTAAGAGTCGAAAGCATGAAGCCCGGGGATGCTCAGTGACCCTCCTCGCTGCAGTCTGGCTGGGGCCATCTAGACGTGTCGCGTGTGAGTCTGGGGGAGCACACTGCCTTTGTGTCTGGTGCTGGGGTCACCGGAGGGTGGATTTTATCCTCGCTGAGCTCGGCCTCACCCCCAGTCTTCGGTCTCTCCTTTCACTCTCCAGATCTAGTTCCGTCATCCGTGTCTAACTCTGGCCATGGGGAGGAAGCTGGACCTGTCCGGCCTGACAGACGATGAGACGGAGCACGTTCTCCAGGTGGTACAGAGAGACTTCAACCTTCGCAAGAAGGAGGAGGAACGGCTGAGGTGAGAGGGCTCCTTCGCCTGATCACGTGGGAACAACGGGACTCACTGTCACAGGCACACACTCAGGTTTATGGAATGGCCACCCTGTCCTTTGTTGGAGGGCTTCCCACAGACAGTGGCCCGTGTCAGGAAGTACCTGGCCCACAGGTGTGATACCTGCATCGCCTTAGCAAGAATCTGGCTACTGAGCCCAAGGAGCTTAAAAATATCATCTAGGGTTTGCCTCGTCCCCAGATGCCTGGTGTTTAAGATGCCTGGGAGAGGTTTAGAAGTGGTAACTAGAGGAAATGATGTCATAGGAAGTACTGTTTCACTCTTTAGCAGTTCTCTTGGTGAACATGAAACTCACAGCACAAGAGTTTTCTTCCACAGTCTTAGGCTGAATCCATTCTTGTCCCTCCCAGCCGGCTGTGTTTTTGTGCGTTTGGGAGGTGTGGCCTTGGCCCTGTGACAATGACCTCTCTCCAGTGCTGACCGGAAGTGAAGACACAAAGAGGTTGTGGGGGTGGGGATTAAGTTTGGGGGATGTAATGTAAAGAGGTGAAGAAGCCCCAGGAAGAGAATGGAGGGGAGAGCAGCCACCCCGCTGCCCCTGCCCCTGCCCCTGCCCCTGTCCCTGTCCGAGGTGTACAGGCTCTGCCGCTGTGGCCCCCAGTTTGCACAGAGGTGCCGACCGATTTCAAAGCAGCTTGGATGGAGGAGGTTTTACCTGGGCTCGCAGTTGGAGGGTGCAGTCCATCATGGCGGCAGGAGCATGGAGCAGAGGGTTGGAGTCTGGAAGCAGAGGGAGCGTTCACTAGGCTTTCCTGCTCCTGTGTTTAATTTTATTCATCCTGGGCATCCTCCACTCACCCCACCTCTCCGGAAACTCCCTCAGAGACATACCTAGAGGTGTATCCACCAGGTGATCTAGTCAAGAGGACATTTAACTGTCACAGATGGTGTCATGCAGGGAGTGAAAATAAAATGACAAGATCCGCCAATGCGAAACCCAAGTCCTCTGCTCCACAGTGAGGGTCCCTGTGTTCCCCGGGTGTGGCCTTCACAGTGAAGGTCGCCCCGTGTTCCCTGGGTGTGACCTTCATAAACATAAACGCATTCTCCCATTGCATTATCCCAGTGACCTGCCTTCAAGCCAGTTCTCGGCTTTGGATAGTGGAGACCTGGCTGGTTTGTTCTCAAGCCTTCATCTTTAGCTTCCTGAGGGTTATTCCCCTGGTTTGGGCTTGTTTTTTTTTTCTATTCACCATTGTTCTGGTTTCCATTTGCTGCTGTGACAGAACATTTGACCAAAGGCAACTTAGGGAAAGAAAGGGTTTGTTCCAGCTCGCAGTCCACGGTTAAGGAATGCAGGGTAAGAATGCAGACAGAGGTTACAGAGGATGCTGCCTGCTGCCTCACTCCCAAGCTCAGTCTGCTTTCTTATACAACCCAGGACCACTGCCCAGGGAATGGTGCCACCCACAGTGGGCTGGGTCCCCCACATTAATTAACCAAGATAATCCCCACAGTCGTTCCCATAGACCAGTATGATCTCTATCGAGACTCCGTTCTCCAGTGACTCCAGGCTGTGTCAAGTTGACCGCTAAAGCTAAGTAGGGCAGTCCCCTTTCAAATTTAATACAGAAACCTCCTGTTCTGTGAAGTTGGCCATCCTCTCTCAGTTCTGACAGATCGGTGTCCATACGCGGAGCCCAGCGCTTCCTCTGCAGCCACGCTTGATGTCCCCTGTCTTTCCAGGGAACAGTTCACACCCAGTTCACACCCGGTGCTGAGGGCCTCCACAATGCTGCTCTGCAAACCTCTTTTGAGTCTCTCCCTTTTGTCTCTGGCTTGCTTTTCTAATGTTTGGAAGTCAGCAGGTAGCACTTGGGCAGTCATGCCTGGACTCTGTGTCTCTGCCCTGCCCACACGAACTCTGTTGGACTCTGCAGGCAGCCGACAATGCTCTCCTCTTCTGGTTGCTGTTATGAGTTAGTTTATTTTTGTTTCTTTGTTGTTATTTTAAAGGAGGCTTGGGAGGGCAGGGAGGGTACCAAGTAGCTGCTTCCCCTGTCATCTGGAAGCAGAGGACACAGTAACTTGCCTGACTGCCCGCCTGGGCTGTTGGGTTCCTGGGGACTCTGTGGAGGTAGAGTCACTCTGGGCCGGTGAGGTACAGTGTGCTTTGGGGGCGGATACATCGGCACAGGAAACTCTCCTCCACGGCTATGAACTTTTGACCCTCAGGGTCAAGAGGGTTCTAGGAACAGAGGGATGATTGTTGCACACTATCTCTGCTTGCAGGATGACCAGCATTTCTAGAAACGCTGCAGACTTCCAGGTTCTCTCAGTTAATGGGACCCTTGGGGCAAGGCAGCCCTGCAGTATGCTCTCTCCTGTCTGCTTTCGCTTGGCCTACAGGTTCCAGAATTCCACCTCTATTCAGGAGTTCTCAGATTTATGCATTTTCCTCTGATTGACTGCACTGATTCTCTCTAGTGCCGGCCCCTTTAAGACCACAAACACCCAAGCAGACAGTACCTTGAAGGGCTGCTGGGTCCAGGCTCTGCTAAATATACTGAGTATCTAAACAGGATGCAGTGAGAATAATAAATTAATTAGCGCTAAGACGCCACATCTCCAGCTCTGTCTGCAAGGGCTTGCGGTTTCCCAGCAGTGGGGTTCGTCATTGCAGGAAGCAACTCCTCCCTTCCTCCTCTCAATTGGATAGATCTGGAAAAGTCTTCAGGTAGCGTAAAAACAGCCATGTCTAAGCCCGTGGTCAGAAATCATAGCTTTCCACCCCATTTCTTCTATAATTTGATTTCGGGGGTGAGGGGGGGTCAGTGCAGCGTTTGTGTCAGGCACCCACACACAGCTTCTGGCCCAGCGTGGCTCTGGTGGGGAGCAGCCCTAGAGAGGTGGGGCGCCCTGACTAGAGGCAGCAGTGTGGCGGGTTCTTGGGTGATTAGGATTCAAACAGTGTGGCATTTAGAAGCTCACAGTGGAATGGTTGTTAGGGGTGGGGGTGGCCCAGCCATGCTTTCCTCTCTACTGGGCTCCTAGAACAATGCCAGGCACCCAAAAAGTAATGGTGATTTGGGGGTGCGGTTGTGTGTGTGCACGCATATGTGTGAGCATGCATATGGAGACCAGAGGTCAATTTGGGTGTCACTGGGGTCTCAGGCTCACCGAGTAAGCTGGGCTGGCCGGCCAGTGAGCTCCAGGCATCTGCCTGTCTCTGCCTCCCCAGCAACTGCAGGTATATGCTACCACGGCTGGGGATTGAACTCAATTAGTACTTTCCTGTCTCCCAAGTCCCATTATTGATGATTTTTATAGAGTGTGATACAAGCCCTCTCCTGAATTCAGACCACCAAGGTCTAAGCTTTCTGTGTGACTCAGATGCAGGGGCTGCCAGCTGTGGCCTGACTTGGTTCCTGCTTTTAAGGACCTCATGGATGGGCTCACCGGTGCTCAGCTTGCTCGGGGCTCAGACATCTGGTCCGGTGCTCACCTGAAAGCCCCTTATCCACCCTGCGTGATTCGGCTGTCTTAATCAGGAGACTTCCTTTCTTCGCTTCCCAATGTAGCATGTCATGAGGTCCTGCTGGGATGTTTTCATTTAGACAGATGAAATTATCATCATGGGTAAGCTGGCTGAATCCAACAGCAATCACCCAGTGTTTCTCCCCTGCTTCTGCAGTTCACTGCGGCCACTGAGGTCTGGCCAGTCACGCGTGAGGAGCAGGGCCTGTGTCCCTTCCAGGCTGAGCACTGAAGAGGTGGTATAGCTCCTCCCTCTCTCCACTTGCCTGCTGTGGTGACTCTACTGTGGTCTGTTGAGGTATGGCCTTACAGGGTAGATGGAGGCTGATCCCTAGGTCACTTCGTGAAGAGAGGCTCTGGCGACCAGCAGGGGACTTGGTGTGAGTTCACACTGGGTTATGACTCTGTAATGGTTAATCTCAATTGTCAACTCAGGATCTGGAATCTTGGGGAAGGGCCAGTGGGCATGCCTGTGGGGGACTGTCTTGACTAGGTTAGCTGAGCTGGAAGACCTGCCTGCTGTGGGTGACCATATTCCTTAGGCTGGAATCCCAGACTGCATAAAAAGGAGGAAATGAACGGAGAATAAACGTTTGCTGTTGTCCGACTCTTGACAGTGGAGAGGACGTGAGCTGCTCAGGTTTCTGCCACCATGTATTCCCCTCCGTGATGGAGTTCCCTCAAACCGTGAGCCAAAGTAAACCCTTTCTTGGGTGGCCTTTGCCAGGGCATTTTCATCCCAGCACTGAGAAGAGCGACTAAGGTAGTCCCTGAGGCCTTGGGGCTTGGTTTTCTCTATTGCATACCTAGTGTCCTCTGACTGATAGCTTGGTGAGAGCTAACAGGTGCCAAGCATATTATTATGCTCCAATCCTTGACTTCTCAGATGAAGAAGGACGATCTTCAGGGCCAGAGGAGGTCCAGGAAGCTAGGGGTATTGTCTAGCCTGGCTCTGTTCTTACTACCAGGACTCCAACTTCAGCCATCTGACCTCTTGTACGCAAAAAGACATCTGTTGGAAGGTCTCCAGACTTAAGCCAAAGCCCAGGTGTGGTAATTTGAATGTAAATGGCTTCTATAAGCTCACAGCGAGTGGCATTATTAGGAGGTGTGGCTTTGTTGGAGTAGGTGTGGTCTTGTTGGAGGAAGTGTGTCACTGTGGGGGCGGGCTTTGAGGGCTCCTATGCTCAAGCTGCGCCCAGTGTCTTAGTTCACTTCCTGTTGCCTTTGAATCAGGATGTAGAACTCTCAGTTGCTTCTCTAGCACCGTCTGCCTGCACACCACCGCACTCCTAGTGGACACGCTCCCCGCCGTGATGATAGTGGACTAAACCTCTGAAACTGTAAGCCACCACCTCAGTTAAATGTTTGACTCTGTAAGAGTTGCCGTGGTCAGCTTCTGCAAGTTGGTAGTGCTCTAACAGACTCAGTCTGTGTCGGGAGAAGGGTTAGGCTTGAGAAAATTGTTT